GCATCTCTTGCCTAAGTAGGAGGGAATATAACTTTGATATCATCTTTAAGTCCTCTCCTAATAAGATTTTATCTAGTTCTGTTCTCTCAAGGGTAAAACCTATTCGTTTATCTTTAACATATTTCGAAACTAACTGATTTTTCTCCCACCATGAAAAGCATAAACCACAGGCCTCCATGTCCTGTTGCGACTTTAGTTCAGCATTGTTATCAAGTAAGACCTCATATGTCACTGTTCTTACCCCTGACACTAGATGTGGTAGCATCATTGCCTCTAGGGGAGCAATCCAGCTTGGTATCTTGCTATAAAATTTTTTTTTGATCTGGTTCCATACATTTAATAGACAGGATCTAATTAAATGCTGCCTAAAGTATGTAGACGACCCTCCCGTTAAGGTCAGAGTTGAGTGCCAACCTGTCAGTAAATCAAAACCTTCCAGGCATAACAATCTGGTGTTTTTCAAGGACACCCATTCTTTAAGCCAAGTTAAGGCCGCCGCTTGATAGTAGAGTTGCCAATTTGGTACAGCTAATCCTCCATTTTGGGGCTTCTCTTGCAAGAATTTTAATCTGATCCTAGGTTTTTTGTTCTGCCAGATGAACTCTCTGACCAATCTGTCTAACCTTTGAAAAAATTTAGCATTTCGTAATACTGGTATGGTTTGAAATAAAAATAAAAACCTTGGCAACACCGACATTTTAATAGCCGCTACTCTGCCCATCATTGAAAGCTGTAATGATGACCAATTTGCTAATTGCTTCTTCGTGTAATCCAATAACCTTTCATAATTATCCTGGATCAAGGAGCTTGTTTTATTTGTAATAAATACCCCCAAATATTTAAGTTTCTTTACCACTTTAAACTTTGTGCTATCTTCAATTGTCTTGATGATGTTTTCTCTGCAATTCTTTGTTAAAACCTTAGTTTTCGCATTATTAATTCTAAATCCGGCCAACTGACCGAAACTTTCAATAGTATTTATTAGAGGTATTACCGAATTTGTCGGTTCCATCATCACAATTGCCATATCATCGGCATATATTTGTAGTTTATACTCCTGAGTTCTAACCTTAATGCCTTTTATGTTTTCCTCGTTCCTGATAGTCTCCGCTAATCCCTCAATCACCAAAATAAAGAGTAAAGGGGAGAGGGGGCAGCCTTGACGTGTACCTTTCCCTATTTCTATTGTCTCTGACATGTCCTTGTTAATGGTAATTTTTGCCTCTTGTTTCTTATATAATAGTGTTATTCTGTTTAAGAACTCCTTCCCGCATCCCATCTCTTTTATATTTTCTACCATATAATCCCAGCTGATGTTATCAAAAGCCTTCTCGGCATCAAGGAAGACTACAGCCAACTGCTTATCTGGGTTTAATTCCCCATATTCTAGAACATCTAAGATCATCCTGACATTATGTCTCAGTTGCCTTTTGGGCAGAAACCCTGACTGATCTGGGTGAATCAAATGCTGCAACACTTGTCTCAGGCGCTGTGCCAGAATGGATGTATAGATTTTGTAGTCGGCGTTCAACAGAGATATCGGCCGATAATTCTTTATCTCCATCTCATCCGTATCTTTTTTATGTATTAAAGATATCACCGCTGAGCCCCAAGAAATTGGTATTTCCTTTTTTCTGAAATGACAGACCAGCACCCGGTTGAGAATCGGTTCCCTACTGGGAGAAAGCACCTGTCTGAAATTCCCCAATGATTCTGTCTGTCTGTCTGTCTGTCTCTCTCTCTCTCTCTCTCCCTCCCTCCCTCTCGGGAAGGGGCAAGGAATGGCCATGGGGGATTTCTGATTCACTTCTTTCTTTTTTTTAATAATAATAATTTTTATTTGTTAACTTTCCAAATGCATTTTTAACAGTTTCATATACATACATATATTCTTTAGAGTCATTTTTTACTTTCTAACCATTTATATAGTCCTAACCATCTTTCAAAAAATATCTCCTCATTTTCCCCATGTAGTGTCAAATTTAACTTGTCTATTTCCGCTACTTCCATCAATTTATATTTTATTTCTTCTATTAGTGGTGGATTTTCATTTTTCCAGTATTTGGCCCATAATATTCTCGCTGATGTAATCATATATGAAATAACATATTTTTCGTTAAAGGTAAGCACTTCCGGCATTATATTTAATAAGTATATTTCAGGCATCAAATCGAGCTTTACATTTACCACTTGATCTATTATTTTCTGTATAAATTTCCAGTATTTATGAGTTTTTACACACTGCCACCACATATGGTAAAATATTCCAACGTTTGACCTGCATTTCCAACATATATTCGAGCAGTTTGAATAACATTTTGCTAACCGTTCTGGAGGCCAGTACCATCTGTGAAAAATTTTAAAGTCATTTTCTCTATAACTTGCCGCTCTCATAGATTTGACGGATTTCCAGATCTTAGACCAATTTTCCTGTGTAATAATTTTCCCTATATCTTTCATCCAGACCACCATGTTGTGTTTCACCACTTCATCTTCCATATATTCCTCTAATAGAAATTTATACATTTTCTGGATCATTTTATCATTTGATGATAGCCAAATTTTATCTAAGTCATTTTTATCCTCATAGAAATCAGATTTCAAGTATTTTTGATGTCTAGAGTTCAGCTGTGTCTTCTCCCACCAAGATAGTTTCAAATTATAATATAATTATATTGTATTATAATAAATTATA